TCGTCCGATATGTAGTATTAGAGGTGGATTGAGCCTATATCCTATTTCATGGTATATGTAGTATGTGCTCTTAAACATTCTTTGCGATCTCCCTACTAAGGCTGAATACGTTTTGAGATACTTTAGTGAAAGATGTATATAAACGCCTCTTTCACTAAAATATCTTATGAAATATTTTTTCTCGACAAGAAAAATATCCAAAGAAAAGAGAAACAATTTTTGTTTTGTGAATATTATTGAATTACAGAACATGGATCATCATGTTTTTTATACAAACGGTTGCAAATATCACAAAATCAACTGGCATATGCGTGTGGATTAAAACGTCGAAACAGATAATTAAGTAGAGATGATAGTTATAAAAGAGAAGGTAACGGAGATCATGGTGATGGTGATAACACGGTCTCGGCGGCGGTGAGTAGATAGGACTTCGTGGACTTTTTGATGACTGAACTGGTATCATCTTCCTTCTCCATCCTAGCTTATTAAAGAAGTTTATATTTGTCTCTTTTAGAATAAAAGAAACATTTTATGATAATTAGTATAAAGGAAAATTTATAAATTGGAATCCAAAACAATGATTTACCCGATTAACTATGTCGAATGGAACCTTAATTATCCCCAAAAAGTCAATGTGACAATGAAAATAAACTAATTCGTCTCTTTTTTTTTTCTTTCTATATTCAAACAAATTGAACTAAAATTATCCAAAATCAAATATAAAATAAATCGTTTATGATCTAAAATTTTTGAAAAGGAAAGAAACCATCTTAAAACAGTTTGGTAAAAAAGATGAATTTCAAAACAAAACGATTTATTTTAACACAAACTATGAGTTCTTTAAAATACCATAAAATATTTTTAAATTTATGTTCCCTAGCTATATATAGTAGTGACATTAATTACTATCAGGATTTCTATAGTGAAAATGTAAAAATAAAAATTTGGAAAAAAGAAGATAAGAATTATCATAAAATACATAACGAATTTATTGGTAAATTGGGAGGACTCATGTGCAAGACTAACCTGATGATGGACGCATCTCTTGTGCAGACGCATGAGCACAATCGTCAGAGCATGAAACCAAAAGAATCACTAGAAGCCAAAACACAAGTCCTAAATTCGAAGGAACCTTCTTTGTCATCTCTCTTTCTAGTTTTTGTTAATTTGCTAACCTCGCTTATTTGATAATCTTATTTATATCTTCACGTGAATAAGATTATCAAATCAAAATCAACGCTAATAGTAAAAAAAGACAAACAAACGTGAATAGTTACAAGTTCTAGAAAAGATAAGGAAAGCAGAGACAAATGATGCAAAACATGAAATTCTTGGTAACTCATTTTATCAAAAATATGACCTAAGGTCCATCTACGCATAAGATGGACATACAAGATTAATTTAACTTCTACCATAATTTCATATTCATAGGTTGCAATCCTATATCAGAAAAATGAATTTGATAAGAAAAAGTTATGTGAAGCAAAATATTTAACTTCAACGAGTGAGTTTTTTTGTATGGTTAAATGCGAATTGGTTATATATCAAATGATTTTTCTTTTTACAAAATAAGTTCACAGGAGCGTAATAATTAGAGCCAAATGCACATTATATCTTCATACGAATGATGATTGGAATTAACTGTGATAATGTTCCGAATGATTATGTCCAGTTTCCTGAACAATATATGTGGAGTTTGTGAGACCATGCTCCAGATAAACATGTGGTCTTGTGTTTCCTGAAGTTTTGTTTTTTTTTTGCTAAATTGTAAATATCATTTATGAAAATAAAAGTTTAGGGTTACAATAACGTTTGTGAGAACAAATTGCGACACCTATGATTTTGATCCCATGGCAAAAAAAATTAAAAACATGGAAACAAATAAACAATCGGTATACGTTCAGAATTCCCTGTAAAGAAATCTCGAGAAAGTAGTGATAATGATCATAAAATTGCCGTGCGAAGATGCAATGTGGAAGCTAGAGTAGGGGAGAAACAATGAAGGTCAATCAGATGCCGACGACCCTTGAGGAAGCACATTCATCCGGAAGCACAAACTAACCAAACGAGACCAAGAGTCGGCAAGCAACTAAACAAAGCTCTATCATCATCACCCGTTTAAGAAGCACATCGAGCAATTAAACACATTTGCTAGTAGTGACTCCACTAGCCTGAGACTCATTCCGCAAGCAGCTCAACCATGATCCCCACTATGATGTGGCAAGCACAATCTCGTGAGAACTAAACCCAAGCCTTACTAGGCCCTCCAAAAGCGACGAAACAAAACACAACAAGAGCCAATCTCAAAGACAAACCCTATCCCGCGACACAAACAATCGATCGTCAAGCACCTGATCCTAAGTAGCACTGCCCAAACCCACACACTATAATCAAAGAGACGATGACAAGAGAGAAACCAAACTGATTTCGCTCATAAACCAACAACCTTGCCGAAAGAGGACTAAGTCTATACCCGAGCATACTCCTACCAATAGCTAGCAACAAGAATACCAATTCAGCGATAATGCAATCCTATCCTTAAGGGACTACAAGCAATCGACTAAACAGAAACTGAGCCAAACACCGGTAGAAAAGGCCTCCGTTGTGGTCGAATAAAGGAAACCATAACCGGTACACCTCCGGACCATGGACCAGCACGGGAACGGGCTAAAGACCATATCCTAGCTAAGAACAAAGCTAAGAACAACGAGTGTTTCCTGAAGTTGGTTGCACGTAAAAGCATATTGAAGGCGCTCCAACGAGTGTTTCTGTCTCGAGTTGGAAGTTTGGGTAAGCAATCCTTTTTATACATGAACTTTATTGATCTCGATCAAGAACTATT